GGGGGGGGGGGAGAGAAGGGGGTTAATACACACCTTCATTTCAAATGTTTAAAAAATGGAAAACTATTAAAAAAACAAATAAATAAATTTCATGAATAACTGTCCAACAAATAAACCTGCTACCACCTATTGTTAATTAATTGTATGTGTATTACATTTTTATACGCGCTGTGTCCGTAGATAAAAACATTTTAATCCTGTGCAAAAATTGCAATTGAAGTTGAAGACAGCGCAAAACGCAAGGTTTCTTTACAAGGTTCAGAACTACTACAACAATGGTTGTCCGCTAGGAACCGTAGCCTTTTCCACAATACTTTGCTAGTTTACTATTTTTTTCTACTTCTTTAGTGCTTTACAAGGTATTTCACAATTCCTCAAAATTCTTTAATCAAAAGAACTGCATGAAAACATCCATTAGAATTAAGTGGCAAGCAGAAATAATGTCCATAAATAAATACAAATGAAAACTTAAAAACACGCACAAAGACCGTTTTTTTATAACACTAGGAGTTATTTATTGTTCAAACAACTGAAATATAAACAATCATATTTCCAATTCTAGCCTCTTCCCCTTCTAGATCATACCCATTTTCAACAGTCACAAAGGTTTTATGTGTTGTAAATATTCACATCCCAACTGAGATGCTATCATATATTATTACCATTGTCTTTTATTTATGTTCTACACCATGCCCCTTTCAGGGCCACTGAAGTTTCAGGTTGAACACTGTAAGGGTTTTAGCAAACGAAATAATATTTTACAAAGTTGCTTTTTCTTTTGAATATGAGGTCAACACTGTAGTTTCTCATCCAATCAAAAGTCATGTGATCAAGAGTTCCCTTGGCAACATAAACTGTGGACCTTGGTGAAGGAATGAACTTCAGATTAAGATGTTTTGCAATCAACACCTTCAACAGTACTTGAATACAAAACAAGATGAATTAAGTTCAAGACTGGGTTAGATCTATTTCTTTAAGCTTTACAAAGCCTTAAATGAATTCAGCTAACTCCTAGCAGTGAGCAGAAATCTTCACCATTTGAAAAAATAACTAATTTAAAATGACTGTGTGTAAATATTCCATTTTTGAAAAATGATATATAAAAGCCTATACACTGATAAAGTGATACACTTGATATTGGCATAGAGCAATGTTGAGTATTCTATAATATTTATATCAAAGCTTATACAAACAATGACTGTATCTTTAAGAAACATTCACCCCTACCCCCTATAGAACCACACATTTCAACAAGCTATGCATAAATACAAAAATATATATATAACAGACTCACATGTGGATAAATTCAAATTAATACCTGTGATGACATCTTAAGGCAAGGATTTCTGAAACCATAAGAACAAATACTAGATATTTCATATTGTGTTTAGGGATTCCTAAAGCCGGCATTCTCATACAAGATAAAAGTAAGGCCAAGAGCTGATGCAGCCTACTATGATAAGCTACTTGTCTGACGGCATCATATGTTTCATTTAAGTCAATTTCTGTTCAAACTTGGTCCTGTGTGTGAACATGACCCGACTTTGTGACGAGACAAACATGTAAAGGCACGCTATAGGGTTAGCAACAAAGGTTCCACAACACTTATCACTGTATCTAAGCTTTGTGCAAATACAATCAAAGCCTCTCATTCACATTTTCCTCTATATTCATGAATAAAGAAAAACAAATTAGTTTTTTAAAAATATCAAGAAACTTATGTGACTTAAATCTAAATGAGACTTGGATAACAAATTTACCTACAATAACTTATCACATTGTAAACTCAAGTTTGACATTTTCATGTGACACAAATGTACTGCCTAGACAGGCAAGTCTTTAAACAAGTCACATCTAATTAAGTCTGCATTCCTACCTATGACATCTGTCCAATTTCAAACATTTATGTCCTTTAAAGTAAATAATTTTATACAGATGTTCAGGGTATTTCCACATAATTGTCTAAACCATATTATATTCTTTTACAGAAATTATCATCATAATGCCTCTTGCCAAATATTGACAAGTATAAAAATGGTCCCATAAGCAGAATGGACTTGGATACAATTCAAACTGGAAAAAGTAATAACACATGTAAAAATGTTCTTTTCATAACCATCATTCCACACCATTCTTCCAACTCCGCGTACATGTGATGACTTCATTTTGCTATATGTATTTTCTATATAACAATACCATTTATACATAGTACATAATATACAAATTTCAATATATATAATATGTATATAACTCTCAACCTCTACACTTTTCATTTTGATAATGCAATATTCAAACTTCAATCATTATACTACAAAGAAAATTTCATTATTAAAATGAAAAGCCACTCGTATCTACAGAATATATATATCAATAATTATGAAAATATCAAATATTTGTATCAGCAAATAAGTGTGACAATTTTTCCCATCACCTGTTCATAATAACTGAGAAGTCAGAATACAAAATTTAATAAAGTTGAAAAATGTGATTAAGTAACGCTCAATTGTTTGGTTTACATATAAGACAAAGACAAAATGCAATTTTTAATTTGAATGAACACATGATTCTGATTCTGACCTAATGTCATAAGAATCTTAATCTTAAGTAATATATTTTTTGTTACACATCATTTCTACATATTTCTGAAGGAACCCTTATCACAACCTGTCTATAAAGAGTCAAATGTTAACTAGTTGCCCTTACTAATAGTTTAAATGAAAATGTCGTTGAACCTTCTCAGCATGGAAATGAGGTTATCATTGTCTCTTGTTTAATGATAAAAAAATGGTAAAAAAGTAAATACTTTATAAAGAGACTAAAATTTTTCATCTGTGAAGCATGACATTGAGATCCTTCCTCAAAGAAATCAAAGTGATTTAGACCCTTTGATTAAGAATCAAATGTCAGCCCACAGAGTCAAAAACAATGTTTAGACTCAAAAGAGACCGTTTACTCTTTTCACCAAATTCTTTGTGGTTCTGTATTTTTAACAGAGCTGCCTGTTAACTTAAACCATCATATGTTACCTCAAACACCTCACTGAATGCAGTGAGGAACCAATAACAATTTGAGAATTCAAACCAAGCCATTACATCTTTTTCTCAAACTAGGATTTCCTGATCCATTCTGGCCAATGTCCCCTCTCTACAGATCCATCAGATATAACTTAATGGCATCGATTACATAATTTGCAATTTCACTCATATATAAATCCATTAGCAAACTGACAAATTTCATCCTTACTCTCATCGTGTGGCATGTCACAGTTGTTCTTGCCTTAATTTTCACCCCACATGATGTGCAGCAATACATCATTCATAATCAGTTTCTCATCTCTGCTCACTGGCATCAGATCCATCTAATGCTAAATTTTAAGCCTTCTCATCAAACATATTTATCACTAACTGCATTACTTCTCTCCATCTGCTGTCCACTAATTTGTGCATTAGAATCAAATATCAATCACAAAGATTAGATTCTTTCATGATTCAAAACAATTAAGATTGGAAGCTTTCAGACAGCTTCTACCTGTCTAAAAAGTATCACATTCAAAGGGGGTACTTTCACCCCAAAAACCGTTCGTTATGTTACTTATGACACCTGATTTGGTATTTTTTTACTATTTAACCACCAGATAAAATTCAACAAATGCTGTCACAAAATATCCAAAATTAACTGAATGTACAAACATGCAATATTGCAAATCAAACAATGTCAACAAAGACATGGTAGTTACCTTCAACATACAAACTCATATTTTAATCCACAGTTATCAAAAAAAAAAAAATCGCGTAGGTCATGTTTGCACTGGTATGAAAAAGTGTCAGAAGGCCCCACATACAACTTGACTTGGAAGCGTTTGTTCAACAACATTAAGGCTCAGTTTAAAACTGGAAGAAAAACAATGCTGCTTACATGTAAAGCTTAACACAGAACTACCAAAAATGAACACCGCTTATTATGCAAGACTTTAAACATTAGGAACTTGACACACACATTGCACATTCAACTTGGATGGATTTCTCGTTTTCATTTTGTGTCATTTTCAAATTGCCACAGAGAATGGACTTGGCATGCTTCACTTCAGAAACTAAATGATACATTTCGGATTAGCTCGTTTGGTAGATAAAAGGAGCTGTGCAAGTGCCCTTTCCTTTAAACTTGAATCAAACACTTACAGCTCTGAAGAATGATCAATACAAATGACATATATTTTAATTTAATCAAACACAAGACTGAGAAAAGTGCAAAGAGAACATGTCAACAAAACATAACATCAGCTGTGTGCAATGTACATTCAGTATCAAAATCTGAAAAACAGTCAACTAAAGAGGTTACAAAGACCCTAAAATAAGCTACCCTGCTAATCCCTGTTTCTCAACACTAAGAACAGCCAAATAGCTCTATATACATACAAACTGTGCATTTCTATTTACGAATCTCTGAAAGGCGAGAATATACAACCATAGGCACAACAGTGTTCAGCAATGATACAGATAACACAGCAGCTTTTTTTAAAAATAATATTGCCACCTAGATTTCAACGGAATACACAAAGATCATGTATCTCTTATTTACAAACAGACTTAGTCTATAGCCTATTTCTGTATTCTTCAGTATGTCTCCACTTGGTTGAGGTAAGATGGCTAAATGGGTTTGGTGAAATTAGCAGGAAACACGCCTTTTGTTTTATCGGACTGTTTGATTCCCATGAGCCATCCCTCATCCTGGTCTTCAGGATCATCAAATGGAACAACATCGATTATTTCTCCCGTTTCAAATGTCAGCTCGTCTACATCCTCTCCCGTGTAAATGTGAGTAGCCTGAACCTGGAGATAAAATAAATATTATAAATAAATAAATATTATTATAATTGTATTATATAATAACATAAGGACTTATCAAGCATTTAAAATTCCAAATTTTTCCCTATTGAAAATATTGAGTCATTACGGTAATGTCAAATGTGATTCACAACCATTGGCTCTCCAAACTGCTGTGTTATATTCACATAAATGAGTACAATTTATTCAAACAATTATTGTACTGATGACAGGTGCATATTTATTTGCACATTTCAACAGAGCATTTTTTTTTTATTTTCTGTGACTGCAGAGCAGCCCTGATATAAAGAATGAAACTCTTTCATCAAAACACGATTGCCATAATATATTCATTTCCTTAGCACAAAAGAAAGAATTCTATACAAGACTATACAGTTTTCTATATTGTTCAACTTACTTTATACAAGTCTATATAGTTTTCTGTGTTATTAAACTTACTCTATACAAGACACCAGGAGGCAATTTTGTGAGAGGCAAATTCGACGGAGGTACTTGATAACATTCCGGGTCGTCTGCAGCAACGCCATACAACCCTCTCGGCTCCTCCCTTAATTCCATGTATTGGTCATCGTCTTCATCATGTGACTGGAAATATCAAGTCAAATATACAGCCAAGTTAAATGAAAGAAACTTTTATGTGTGATGTTAGCATGTGGCAATTAACAAAGAGTGGTGCCTGGAGGAGAGAGAGACAGTTGAAAACCCTTTGAGTCTAGTTCAGAAATTGTAATAGTTTTTTTTTTATTGATTTCCAAATAATATATTACACAAAGTATAAATAATCATTTATAATGATTTTGTCACATCTTCCATTTCCTTTTGAGTGAGAAACACCGAGAGACAACCATACCATGCACCCAAATATAAATATAAATATAAATATGAATTGAAACATTGTATTTATACAGTATGTGAAATCATCTCCAAAGTGACTCGGACTTACACCAAAACTCTTTACTCTATCATAACATTTCAATGTCAATTCAAAGCACAGAGACCAAGTCAAGGCTGATATTGTAAAATGTTTGTCTCAACAAAAGCTGAAGGTATTCTCACTTTGCGATTAACATTCACTGGTTCATATGTCTCATCAGAGTGTAACGTTGGTTCATACGCCGTGTCGTATTCGCTCTCTATCGTGCTGTTCGCACTGCCATTCTGTCGGGGACCGTTAGCTCTTGCCTCTCTCTCTGATGAGGGACCATTCATTTTACTCTCACTCTGCTTAGATCCTTTTGAGGTACCTGAAATAAATATGCCTTTCCTTAATATTGATGTTTTGAATATATTTTCTACCTTGTTCTGCTATTCTGCAGCATAAGCATCATGTTTTAAAAACAATTTGACATCAATTTGACTTCTAAATTTCAACATTTCAGCAACAGTGACACAAATGCACAATATATAAATATAGATGATAGATGACAACTGAATTTCAAATTTTAGTTTTTTCTAATTGCTGATTTTCATATCATCATGCTTGAAAATAAATGGATAATATGGATTACCTAATTTAAGGTGAATCAAAGCAAATTATCATACATTTACAAATATGTCAATTACAAAATATATATTTTATTACAAAACAAAGTCTATTTAATATAAGGACAGAAATACATATTGGCAGCTATAAAGCAAGAGTCCTACATTTACTAACATACAAAGCAAGCCACTATAGGTACCTCCTGTATGCCATATCGTGTAAGATATTTACTAAATTTTAATCCCATGGTTCCAAATAAACAATTAAAGCAACACAAACAACCATGCTAAATTCACAAGGCTACATAAACAGCACTGCATATATCTCATTATAAACCGCTTTCATTGGTGTCAATTTTTTTGAGTTTCTAACAATTCTGGCTTGCCAATGCAACTGGCAATTATTTTTGTGAAGTATAAAAATTGAGTTCACAAACAAAGAATTTCATCAGTTGTATTATATACTGGAAGAAAAAACAAGTTTTCAACACATATAACCTCATTCCATGATAGTGTATTGTGAAACATTGAAATATTGCAGTAGTAATATTTTTTATTATTTTTTGAAAAAAAATATTATTGTAACTTTAAGTTAACCAAGTTCTTTGCTATAAACTTAAGAAAACATGTCCTGTCAAATTTGGCCAGCCTCTCTGAACAAAAAGTAAAGAAGTAAAATCGGTCAATCTTGGGCTTTTTGACACCCTATCAAAGCCATGAGGTGACATGAAATCGGTTTACAAACACAGCACAATAGGCTACCACCACACACCAAGCCAGTACCTACCCCATACTATGATACTCCACAGTAAAACCAACATGCTGCTGGACCAACACTAGGACTACTGTTAACTATCTACCCTTTTATATAGGTTGTCTAACATACAGTAATGCACAGTATATATATTTGACCCAAAAAAAGTCGGGAAACATCATTTTTTTGAACAATTATAAAATGACCACGTATATGAGTCAAGGCAATTATTTTCAAGAAATATTGATGGATAATGCACCCAGATTTTGTTGTTACACTTTTTATATACAATGAAGATTTTCCCACTACATTAGGTAATTTTATAATTATTGAAAAACAAATTTTTGTTTCCGAACATTTTTTTTGTGTGTGTATGTGTGTGTAGTACATAAGTTGAAGGGCCTGTCATGCCCACCAATACTATCAGAGACCACAAGAGACCTCTACAATATCAGCTTGCTTCCAATCTGCTGAGTCCAGTATTTGGTCAGAAGTTACTGAAAATGTCAGAGGCATGCCGAGAATGTAGAGGTGATTTCCCAGTGAAACCTCTGAAACTCATTGGGATGTTTCTGGAAAATGGCAACGAAACTGAGGTCATGTTCACATTAGGCTTTACTAAAACCAAACAATGGCTGATTTACATCATCAAATACAAAATTGGACCCTTTTTCCATTGAGCAGTACAATTTTCTTTTTACCAAACTGAACACATAGTCTCCAAAAGTTTAATAGGCACTTTTAGCTCCAGCAAAAACCCCAAGGTAAATGTTTGTAAACAAAAGCAACCTCAGTCTCATTTTGTTCCTTTTTCGATAAAATCGCCATCGAAAAGGCACCCAAAAATCATCCCCTATGACAGGTCCTCCGCAGCATGCATGTCGCAACATGCAAATCACTAATTTTCTAGGTGATGTGTTAGTTCTCTTTTATTTCTCACTTCCCAGCCTTATGCCCAAGGAAAAAATGTGTGCAACCAGTATCTAATAGACGATAATAAGGAGAAGTTTGAAGAATTTAGCTTGAAAGTAAGCTCAGATAACAATTTGCAGTTCTCTAAGATGAAAAGATGTATAAGCTATGAGCATAATGGAAATGTCTCTGTAATAGTAGTATTTACAGCAATAATTTTGGTGCACCAAGAGAAGTAACTTATTAAAAAATATACAATGATAACAAGTCAAAAGGAAGAAGATGGATTATGTAGATTGGTATATGGTTCTGCAATAAGAGGTAGATCACGGGTGGCATCACGGGCTGCAATAAGGCCTAACTGGCCAAAAAAAGCCAGTAACCCTTCACTTTCCTAACAATAATTTCTACAGTCACTGTGCTTCTTTATCAAGAAAATTAGAAATGAATTAATATCCCAAGAAAGTGGCCCAAAACCAGAAGATAGCCATAATCTTATGAACAGTGCTCTGTTAAGAGTAAGAAGTGCTATCAAATTCTAGGGAAAAAAAGCACACATCCGAGAATTACCACATAAACAATGTCTTTTCAAGCCACCAATCCCTATTTAGAACCACACATGAAGAGCTATCCCAGTTTCCACACACCAATCTACTAAATTTGATCTGTATACAGCATAAATAAATAAGAAAATGTAGTTTCTTTGAAAATATGCCTTTCACAGCACTAAGGTAAAGATATGACAGAAATGGGCACAAGTCTGGGACTCTATTCTGACTTCAGATCAGCCACTTCCGTCTCTGAATCTGTGCGCTGCCAATCTTGTGTATGGCATGACGTGACATTCAGAAAATGAACCAGCAGGACTGAAACTCAGCATAGGTGGCGCTGGACACCAAGACACTACACCTACTTGATCTATCAGATGCTTGCGAGGATGGCCTATCAAGTTCAGCTAACTCCTGCGGCCCGACTTCACCTGGGTTTTGCCTACTACTACTGCCTTCTGACTCAACAGATTTATTACTCTCTCTGTCTCCGCCACTCAATTCTACATGAAACTGAGACTGACTTTTTTCTTGGCGCTGCTCTTTTTGAACTGGCCTGGGCCGACTCATTTCCTCACTTGATGCATCTTCACTAGATCTACTGGACTCTCTGAAATTGGACAGTAGATGTCACATACCCTCAAGACAACCCTGAGAGTCACATTACTTTTTTTTCTTTTTACATATCATATCCAGTGGAATTAATAAGATATTAAATATTATTATTATTTGATTAGGAAGCTAAAAAAAATTGGTATAAATAAGAAATTATAATACTCTGTATATTTCACCTTCCATGAAGTCTTTTTGTTGTTGTTTTCCGCTCTACTTTAAAACTGCCCTTGGTATTTTCTTTTGCTAACTGTTCTATGTGCTCACTTATGTCATCTTCAATCTGGGACACAATGAAAGAAATCACATACAGAAAATAAAAATTAAAACAAATTAAAAATCTGTTAATGATAATTTAATAAGCTAAAATTTTTATTTATTTCTCATCTTCTGACTTGTTTTTTTTTTTTTTGAAAACTCTCATCTTTTAGACAATCCAAAATACTTAGTTGGCCAAGTAAACATTAAGCCAAACAAAACTTGTCAACTTCTTAAACAAAGAAGTACTTTAATTAAAAAATCACTTATAATTATTTCATATTGGTAAATTCTGCAAGTTCTCTGGTTTATTATGTATTCCCCATAACTACCACCCATCACTCCTGCACACCTGACCCATTACCTTTGCACATTCCCTGTGAAATATTGCTTCTGCGCTGGACAGTGACAGCAGATTGGTACAGTACTGGTCAATACGGCTGGACAAGGCAGGAGAAATGAGAAAACACATGTATAAACAAAGTGGATAATCACAACTAAATTTTTAGAAGGGTTAAAGTCATGATTTTGTTTTTCTCTCAGTAGCTTTAAAATATAACCTCCCCCCCCCCCAAAAAAAAAGGAGTCTGCATATCAGTTTACAAGAGGGATAATTTAAAAGTTATCAATATCTTTCACATTATCAAAACTTTATTTTTATACTATGATAAATATAATGCCCTTTTTCAGAATACATCTCCTCAGACGATGACAGCTGATCAAGACAGCTCAATTCAAGACAGCCCCATTCCATACCCATCATATAAAGAAGGCAGCTCTTCATGAAGCTCTACATTCAAGTCCTCATATATTCTGCGAGCCTCTTCCATCTCTTGTCGTGCCTAATGAAAACAGATCATAATTTGTTTAAAAATATAAGCTGAGGTCGGTTTTACTCCTGCTCAACATCACGTGTAATATGTTTTTAAACCATTAAGTCTGACATCATAATTCATTGCAATGTAACTTCATTAAAATATAAGGCTGGATGAAGTGCATGCTTACAATACCATCAAAATGAAAGCATTGGGTTTCTGGCCACACAATAAAATAAGAATAATATATTTTGCTTTGCTTTATTTATGCCAGCACCTCTGAATTCCTGCTGAAAAGCATTTCTTGTGCTATCTATTAAAAAAAATAAAATACACTCCACCTTATATATCTTGGTTTCATCCCTCTTCTTTGCCTGCTCCAAGGCCTGATAATTGTGTCTAGCTCCATCAAAGTCCACCAATTTCCTCCCTCGTTTAGATATTTTGGTCTAATAAGAAAGTTTCGTTTAACGAAAAAATTATGTTGTTCAAAATAAGATGTAATTGTGACACACATCTTACCAATGACATTGAAAAAGTTGCAAAAATGAATCTGTTTGGTACTAAAATCAAGTAATTTAGGGATTAAAAACAAAGCAATCATATTTTCATTTATTTTTTTTCTTTAAATTCAATTGTAATTTAAAATGGAATCACTGAGCTTAACTCACCCTAATCTCAGGAAACCTGTCCACATAAGACTGGAGAGGGTTGATCACTTCACGTTCTAGTTTTTCTACATAGTCCTTCCACATAATCTGAAGGCTCTGCAAGTTGGGGAGAAAAAAAGGAAAAAATTACAAAAAAAATCACATTTATATTTTTGAATCAAAGATTTCAAACAGGGAATGTTTTGAGCAGATTGGGGCTCCTACAAAACCTTTATCTTATTGAGCTTTCTCTAAGATCTCAACTCTTGTCCAGATTCAGAACCAAACCATCCTGTCTAAGGACAGTTTTGGGCTTCAAATCAATGTAGGGACACAGGTGGAGAAAACCTTAAAACTAAACTCACTTATGAAGCACTATTGATTTTTTAACATATTTAGTACTTTTGGGATTAGATGTAAACCCCCCCCCCCCTTCCCTCCTCCAATGTAACATCTCCCTTACACACAAGAGTCTCAACAATGCTTTCCAACATTCAAAATAATATTACGACCATAGGAGCAGTAAAGACATCAATTTGTCCAACACTTACCACATAACATTCATTAATCTCATTTTTCTTTGACCATTCATCTTCATAAATTTCCAGAAGCACTGTGCTTAGGGTTTCACTGGCCATGGACATAACTGAAAAAGAGGTGTTTTGAAATCAATTCACCAATACTGCAAAAGTCTGCTTTTAGCAGTCAGCTATTGGATTTTAGCAGTCTAAGTTATGCTGTAAAATTAGAGACTTTTCACGATAATTGCCACTTTTGCATATGATTGTATGCTTGTTGTAAGCTTACTGAAACAAAGGTCTCATTTTTTTTTCTTCATAATGAACAAGGAACTGGGATGTGAAATTTTGCCAATATTCAACATTATCTTGAAGAGCACACCACATATTCTGCAACATTGGATTTTGAAGTAGTAAGCGTTTTAATGTTAAAACAAGTTTGCTTTCTTTCATCAGCACTTTGAATATTAAAAATATATATTGGGAATAAAGTAAAATTGTGTGAGATATAAAGCATGAAACTACAACAGAATAAAAATACACAGTTATCAAATTCTCCCCCAAGAAGTGAGGCCAGTATAAATACTGGTCTATACACAGAATATAGCCAACAGATGTCAGCACTGAGCCACATCTTGTATACCACATGGACCAGCTACTACTGTATGTATACTAACAAGTGTGTTGAATCTACACTTTTTTTAAAAAACAAAACTATATTCTATACTTATTGAAATACTTGCTTCATCTTTATAACACAGTAGGTATAAAAGCTTCAATTCCATAACCTTGGTTGTCTGACAACACATAATATGGAATTTAAATCATAATTCAAAGCTAAAAGTTTGTACTAGTACATAAAACAAGTGCCCATTTGTGATTATGTTTCCACATGCATGCTATGGCAACCCAGGGAACCTTCAAAAGTTTGCTGTGCAGACATCAGTAAAAGACATACCTCTAGCAGCTTGGAAGTAGTTCCGTAACTCCTTTTGTAGTTTGGCAGCAGTAGCCTACAATATAAACATAGGTACATAAACACACAGCCTATACATATAATTCTTCACAAGATCAATACATCAACATAAAAGACGTTATAGTCATTTCTGATAAAATCTGATAGAATCAAATTCTTCTTACAGTCTTACAATGTATTATTTATTGAGGATCCTATCCCTCCCAACCGAGGGGAGGGTGATAGGATTTTCTTCTTTCTTTTTTTCTTTCTTTTTTTTTTTGTAGTTGTGTGTGTGTGTGTGTGTGTGTGTGCATGTGTGTTGCACATATCATATGACACACAATTCCACAGTTTATTTGGCACTTCATTAAACAAGATCTACATAAGATACACATTTTATGTTATCAGAGGATTGCATATTCCAAATGAAGGGAAGGTGTGTTCACATCAGGTCTAAATCAAACAAGATGCTGACTAAGTGATGTCAACTGACAACATAACATTATAATATGATAACTTATTAGGGTAATTATCTAAAAAATTTACAACACCTCAGTCTTCTCTTTTTTTAATATTTTCCTTCATCAAGGTTTCTTTTATGACACTCACAAAAATGTACTTTCAAAAAATCCACTTCTTTCCAAAATTTTGGAACACTGACTTATTTTCACAACGACAAACTATCTGACAAAAAATATTAGGGGAGAGTCATTAATTATTGCCATTAAAATGTATTGGCCAATTACAGTATATCAAGATACATGATAGTAGCCTTGTCACAGCTTGATATCAATAAATCTCATTTTCACCCTAAGTTAACCTGGTTGTGAACATGCCCAGCTGTAACATGAACCTGAACACAAAGCAGGACCTATCTCTTACTACACTACAGAAATCAAATCCTGGATTCCTGAGTTTAAAATATCAATAAAAAATGTCTCTTTGTCGGTGTGTAATACGATATAGCGTGAGTAAAGTAAACTACTTTATGTGATACTACCAGTATTGTGACATTTCAGCCTCTGTCAACAAACTTCAAGCAAAGAGAAGTTATATCCCTATGGTAAATGTTCAACAATATTGAAAAATGTGAAATAATAATCTTCCTCCATAAAATAGTTTTGTTAGTTACGCATTAAACTGACTCAAAAGTTTTGATAAGTTGGCTAACTTTGTGTCAGAAAGTACAGGGCCATGAGTGCCTGAAAATAATACATCTTGAAAAAAAAAACATTTGAAAAAAATAAAGTGCTTAAAAATTCCAAGTAATTACCATAATAGATTACATATAAAAGGAAGGAAAAGGGTGGACACTTGATATAATATGTCAACATGAAAGGGTGATAGTGGAAGAGGAAGATTAAATTGAAATATTGAGCCTCCTTGTTACATGGCACTGAGCATGGTGTGGGGTATAAACTGTGTCATTCAGTAATGGTCCATTGAATGCCACCCTTGATACTGCCAAAAAACAAACAACAACAACAATATCTGAGTTTACCCTTTTTTCTAAAGATCCAGAAAAAAAAACTAATTTTGACTAAAAGTTTTAAGAAAAAATGCACAAGTTATTAGAAAATTGTTTTTTAAAACTCCCATAATAGACTAATACAAACGTGATGATGATACAATTCCTTCAGATAATGGAATTTGTAAAAGACTTCACACATTCCTGTACCTAACAATACAAAATGAAAGGACAACATTCAAGTCAGTTTTCCTTGTCACTGGCACTACCCACTGCACCCAATTAATTCCTTTATCTATTAATTACCTGTTCTTATTAATTAACTGACTCTAATAAAATGTATCAACTTGTATTTACCTGCTGGCGAGCAAATCTCTCCACATGGCCGTCCAGTAAGTCGTCTGTGGTCTTGTCTGCCTTGCCCAAATTTTGTAGAACCTGAAATGTACATCTTAATTATAAATATCACACATCACATAACACATCACATTAAAGGAAGAATCTGTTGCCAGCATACAAGCAAGTTTGTGACTGTAATGTGTTCACAGAATAAGAGACAAAATCAGTAAAATAGGTCTTCTGATGTATCTTGTATAAAGAAATTAAAATGTTCTAAGGGCATTCCATGGCATTTGCTTTGCATCATGAAAAGAATTTTGACTTTTTGAAGTTGTATTTTAGAGAGTTCTATTTTAAGAGATGAAACATCTTTTTGAAACCCTTGAAACATTTAATTTGATTATGCTTTAACCCTTCATCCAAGGGGAATTGATCACAGAACTGACTCATTGCTTTGAGCTCAGGAAATTAGGATGTCACCATAGGAAAGAAGGGAGACCCAAATAGTATAGCTCCAAATTGGGAGCCTGTGTGAATGCGCCTTTTAACACTTCAGACGGCTCAGACAGGCCACATGACTAACTGCTCTCTGACATGCTACTCAAGAAGAGACAGAGGCCACATGCAGCCAGATATAAGTACAGGGTGTAGCACTAAACATAGAACTATATCATTCTATTTCTATATATTCTATTCTACTGTCTTCTTTTATATCTAATAAGAATAACCACTTCATTCTGTGACCAATAATTTGTAATGAAGTATTCTGACACTGCATTGACAACCTACAAATGTGACACACACACACACACACACAGAAAATTAACATTAAATTTTATAATTTTTCATATTATAATATAATTGAATATTTTTTTTGCTCTTTCTCTCTCTCTCTTTCTGCTACGCACCCAATCCCAAGATAAAACTTTCTCCCAGGGAGTCAGAGAGAGAGAGAGAGAGATGATACTGACAAGAGACCCACCTATAACGGCTAATTGACACCTATATTGATGACAGAGAGAGATACAGGTCAGTATATACTACAGTGTCATTGCCCTTATTTCTCCACTCCTACCCATTACTCAGTGAAATGCTTTCAGACTTTTAAATCTTAATGGAGTCACAATCAAACATTTAACATTATTACTATAATTATTGTGAATACTGCTACATCTATGATCTGCAACCAACTATACTATATATCAATTTGGTGACTAACCACGTGAAAATGCATCATTTTTTCCTTTCTTGGACAATAAAAAGTACTTTTTTAAAATAAAGCTAATGTTTCATCAGATTATAAATTAATAAAATATTATACAAACTCCTCAGTAACAAAGCCAGAAATATATGGGACAATATAAAATACAAGACTGACAGTTATTTTATTATCACATAACATTTTAATGCCTGCCTATAAAATTTGTAGTAAGATAATTCAGGAGTCACTCTGAATGGGTAAACTAGGAGTAAATGCTATGGGTTTAATAATTATGGAAAGTGGAGAAATTTTGTATTTACAGGCCATGAGCCAGACTCCAGTTTTTGCCAATCAGCACAGTAAAAGGTAAAAGATATGTACCAGTGAGAGAAGGCTATCACATATACTTGGACACTAGAGACATAAGGCTTTGTGATTTCCTTTTTTCCCTTTTCTTTTTGTACTGACAAAATGCCTTGACCATGGAGTATCATTATAGCTGTAACCCCTCCAGGCAGTTCTAGTACATACCAATGTAAATGTAGATCTCAGGATGAAGAAAGCATGGTTGCCCAGCCTAACACCCCACACAATACCAGACAATACAGATTACAGCTTTACTGTAACAATCCATTATGTAACACCAGGGGCCACAACTGCTGTGGTCTGTTCAGACTGGAAAAAATTTACACCGGTTATAGAACAAAGTTGGGTCATAAGACAAGAAACCCCACTGCACCTCAGACATCTAAATCCCAGGACCACCAAGCTGGTTCTGTTATGGTGACTGTTAGCCTGATTTTCGGTCCAAGCAGACCTAGTCTAGACACACCTGTTTATAGCAAAAGAACCCCCCCATGACTGCCATGTGCCTGAATGACTAAATCTTAGTTCCAATAATTGCATTTTTCTGGGACCACACTTGAACACAAGCCATAACATTGCTGAAAATCTTCCAGCTAACGAGTTTAAATTCCACAAAAACAATGATACTGCAGTCTTCTCCCGGATTTCAATTTTTTGCAGACATGAAATTGGAAGAACACACATGCAAATGACTGTATTTTTTATTCCCGGATTTCAATTTTTGGCAGACATGAAATTGGAAGAACACACATGCAAATGACTGTTTTTTGTTTTGTTTTGTTTTTTTTTTAATCTGCCTGATGTGATTTCAATTTTGAAACAGGCATTCCAAAGACGAAAGAATGAAAGAAAGTTCATTAACAATATAGACACTAAGTACCAGAAAAGGCATCTTTAATAATTTCAGTTATGTTTCCACACAGTTATGTAATTATAATGGCAATTACTATTGTATCAGTACTGATAAGGGTGGGGAATTCTACGACCTTTGCTGCTATTGAACTTCACTCTCATTACTGTTCACTTCAATCCCCTGTTGTCATTGTATCATATCATCACAAACAATTCACCCTATCTTGTACTAACTAACCCAGAGATAACAGCTGTGAATGGACTAGTAAGGAAAAGGAATTCACAAATTTCCAGCAAAAGTTATTCAACAGAACTGCTAACACTATAGTAAGAAACAAACTGAGAAAGTACTACATGCAAATGCTTACGTCTTATCAAAATAGCCTCAAAATATTGAAGTACCCCATATTTTTATTATAATGTGTGTCTATAATATATCTATAATACAAGAACTTCATCAGCTCCTATGCTAAAGCCACAAAACCATGTCATTTCAACATGATTGATGGACCAGAGGTATTCAGATATTAGCATAAACATTTCAATAACCCTTTCAAATTTTCACTCATATCTGACTCTAATGGTATTAAGATGCACTTTCTGTTGTACAGGGAGATGATTAAGCATACACCCTCACTAACTGTTTTACATCTTCCTTCCTTGTTGAAACAGTCACTCTGATATAGAAAACCACTTTGTTCTTCCAGTAACCAAGGATATAATTCCTCTGTCCGACACTGTGCTAGGCAGCTAAATGTCTAAGTGTTCCAAGTATTATCACCTTAGATTAGAAAACAGACTACTGTCATGTCCTACCCAGATTAACTAGGCAGAGATTTCACTATATGAAGCAGAATGGGGTCTCGTCATACCCATTACCATGACACACCCTATTTCTCCACACATTGACAATCGCTCCAAGCAATCCTGTGAGAACACGGCTGCACATATTTATTTATCATACAATTCTAAACAGTGAGAGCCTAAGGCTTCATTCACATGCAATGTCTATTTTCTAAATTCTATTTTCTATTTGCGGTATGTCTTATGATCACGGTCTGTGGCCTGAATATCCCGCGGCGTAATTACTGGCAGCGCGAGCCAGTTACTATAAGTTACTATAAGTAACTGGCTCGCGCTGCCAGTAATTACGCGGCGGGATATTCAGGGCACAGACCGTGATCATAAGATAGCGCAATTTGAGGCACCAACCTTAGTACAAATGTCCCAAACTCTGCTATGACATATGATAATAAAACATACCAAAACTTTCCGAAACAATGCCTTTACATTTCATGTTCATTATTTCTAAGTACTGTAAGCAAGTTATATGATATCACACACAATGAAATCAATATCAAGCTAGTAAGTGTAACAATTTAGTCAATTACAACACCATTATCTAATAGTCTACACATTGGTGTGTTATTAGCAATGTAATCTATACTCAGGTGCTGTTGGCAGTCAAGAGAATTCAGAAAACTCAGATCACCCTGAGGCTTAAAACATACTAGAAACTACCTAACTCTGATAAGACAAAGGTTTTACACAACCACAACATTGGGTTGCAGTCAAATTTCTACTTGCTAAAATTGCAAGTGTAACTCTTTTTTGGCTAAAACTAATATAAATGCTACCCTTGCAGGGTGGATACAAGCCTGTTCTATTTCTATATTTCTCCCAAATCTATATTCATAAATACAAGCAATTCATTCATTAATATGTGCATAAATGCTACTTCCAGATAAACATTTTGTCATCACACCATCACAAGCAAAGATCCTACAGCTTTCTAGGCATGTTTTTAAGATTAATTAATAAAACTCCCCCATGATAGCCCATTATTAGGGCACATTTAAGCCCCAAAGGTTGTTTCTCCAAGGCATATTGCATTCTGATGAAAAATTCCCAACATTATTTTGCATAGAATAACATACTATCCAGAGATACTTTCCTAATAGACAACTCTCCTAATTATTTCAATACCATTCCAATTCAATAATTTTGTAACTAACTAGAGGATCAGAGAGGCGATACCGCCTCCGAATATTGTACCACCAGCTGGAGCAAGCGCATTCGTATAGACCCCACATACNGCCGTGTGTTATGCAAGAGTATGCTACACTTAGGTGTATAAATTTTGTGTTACCAATCACAATTTGTTCTACAATTTTGATCATTATACTTCAAAACCTTTGAATAGTATTAAAAACTGTAATTTTTTTTCAATTTACTGGAGGTGGAAATACCCCACTGTCATTCAAGCATGTACACTGAATAAACGTAGGCTAAACAGTAACCTTAACAATTTAAATCAATAAATTTCCTCAAGTTCCCAGCAAACTTAAGTAACTCTTTCTCACGACAGCAATGATTACAGTACACAAATGCACTATGCTATATCTAGTGTTGATATAAACGCGGGGTACACGTTATAAGTTAATCCTTATCGGATATTCCTATCTCATGTCTCCTACTTCCTACTTGTTAAACTCCATCTGCAGTATCTTTAAATACCAAAAATATTCCACATTCCCATACCTCTATCTATCATATTTCACGGAAATATATGTTTATATTTCACACCAATAGATATTAGACTTTACTTTATTAGATCTGAATGTTAAATAATATAATTACCTTTTCTTTCGCGCGAGCTGCACGTTTTTGTAAGATCTTTCCTATGCTACCTCCCTTACTCTCTGCCATCTTGGCTTATCTTGCCGGGTTGGAATGTATATGAGTTTTCATTGGTCAAAAGTATTAAGATATTTCCATTCTGTTTAGAACATTTGCTAACGTAAAAACAGAGATAGAATAATTCGTATTATCGATTAAAATATTTAAAGTCAAATCATAGAAATATTCTAGGTCATTCAAACTTAATTATTGTATCTATAATGCTGCGGTCCTACTACTGTAGGTAGCCATCTTGAAAAGGGTGACCGGCAAAATTCACATGCAGCGTAAAAAGTGTTAATTTTGGAAAAATAAGATAACTAGGAAAGAAAACAGTTTAGCAATTCAACAAGCCAGACAAGAAGTTTACACAACTATGGAGAAAAAGAAATCGGAATCCAAATCAAAGTCCACTGACGTAGAAATGAAAGACGTCTCCAAAGAAAAGAAAGAGAAGAATGATAAAGAAGAAAAGGAAAAAGAAGAGCCCCCTAAAGATCCAGACTTGCTCACATTAGAAGGTAGTTTAGAAACTTTGGATATTTGAAGTTTATCAACGCAAAGATGCCATTTGTGATCACTGCAGTTTGTTGTCTTTCAAGTTTTCAAGGTTGATTTTCTGGGGTCATGCCGATACTCCCCCGCACCGTTACTCCCCCGCACCGATACTCCCCCTTAGTAAATTTTTGCATTATGCACATCGATACGCCCCCGCACCGATAGATCCCCGCATCGATAAACCCCCTGTAAAATTGCCGTTATACGCGCACCGTTACTC